GTGGCTCACTGCTTAGGTGCACGACAAGTTCCCTCCGATCCTGCTGCAGTCCAGTCTGAAGGTCACGTACGAGGTAGGTGCACGACAAGTTCCCTCCGATCTTGCTGCAGTCCAGTCTGAAGGTCACGTACGAGGTAGGTGCACGACAAGTTCCCTCCGATCCTGCTGCAGTCCAGTCTGAAGGTCACGTACGAGGTAGGTGCACGACAAGTTCCCTCCAATCCTGCTGCAGTCCAGTCTGAAGGTCACGTACGAGGTAGGTGCACGACAAGTTCCCTCCAATCTTGCTGCAGTCCAGCCTGAAGGTCACGTACGAGGTAGGTGNTCATTGACACACACCACAACTCAAGGACTCATCATTGACACACAACACAACTCAAGGACTCATCATTGACACACACCAAAACACAATGACTCATCATTGACACACACCACAACACAAGGACTCATCATTGACACACACCACAACACAAGGACTCATCATTGACACACACCACAACACAAGGACTCATCATTGACACACACCACAACACAAGGACTCATCATTGACACACACCACAACACAATGACTCATCATTGACACACACCACAACACAAGGACTTATCATTGACACACATCACAACACAATGACTCATCATTGACACACACCAAAACACAAGTACTCATCATTGACACACACCACAACACAATGACTCATCATTGACACACACCACAACACAAGGACTCATCATTGACACACACCATAACACAAGTACTCATCATTGACACACACCACAACACAATGACTCATCATTGACACACACCACAACACAATGACTCATCATTGACACACACCACAACACAATGACTCATCATTGACACACACCACAACACAATGACTCATCATTGACACACACCACAACACAATGACTCATCATTGACGCACAACAACACACCAACCGGTCAGTACACAACACCACGCCACGATGATCGGTCAGTACATTACGTGACAACNTTTTGACTTGAGCTAAATTTTCCAGATTTTTGAAAAAGAGCTCCCGCGAAAAAAAAAGAAATTTTTCCCCCTGCCGCCAACCGACATATCATGAGAGCTGCCGATGTAGCGGCGGTGGCAATAGCAGCGGGGGCGGCGGTGCATGAGAGCCGCGCTCACACGCTCACCTGTGAGCTGAAGACTCGCTGCGTCGATCGCTCGATGTTGCCGGCAGTCCGAAGTACGACGGCTTGTCTTCGTCGTCCAGCCGCGATATCACCTCCAAGTAATCCTGTAACAAGAACACAGCCGACGTCAGCTCCCATGACACCCGGAGCAGGGGGGCGGGGGGAGACGAAATGCTGGCGATCGTTCCACCGCCGCGCTGTCGCGCTCTCTCTCTGTCTCTCTCCCACCTCTCTCTCGCTCTCTCTCTCTGTCTCTCAATCTCTCTCCTCTCTATCTTCTTTATCTGTCTTGTTTTTTTTCTCTTTCTCTCTTATTCTGTTCTTCTGTTTCTCTCTCTTCTCTCTCCTCTTCTCTCCCTGTCTCTACCTCTCGTCTATATATATTTCTTCTTTCTCTCTCTCTCACTCTCTCCCTGTCTCTTACCTCTCGCTCCTTCTCTCTTTCTCTTCTCTCTCTCTATCTTGTCTGTTTCTCTCTCGCTCTCTCTCTTCCCTTGTCACTCTTTTTCTCTATCTTCTCTCCCTTAGTCTCTCTCTCTCTCTTCTCTCTCTCTCCCTGTTCACTCTTTCTCTATCTCTCTCTCTCTCCCTGTCTCTTCCTCTCTCTCTCTCTCCTGTCACTCTTTTCTCTGATCTCTCTCTCTCCCTGTCTCTATCTCTCTTCTCTCCCTGTCACTCTTACCTCTACTTCACTCTCTCTCCCCCTGTCTCTCTCTCTCTCTCGCTCTCTCGCTACTCTTCTCTTTCTCTATCTCTCTCTCTCCTTGTCTCCACTCTCTCTCTCTCTCCCTGTCACTCTACCTCTACCTCACTCTCTCTCTCCCTAGGCGGCGACACGGCATGGCAGGAAGTACGTAACGCGTTGCCGGGGGCGATGCTGCAACTCACAGCGTGTGTGGTGGATGCGGGCAGGTCGGTGCCAGCAGGCAGCATCCCGGCTCCCGCACGCGCACGCCCGCTCAGCTGCTCCCCTGTGAACAGCTGCTGGAGGTACGACTGCAACACGCGCACGTCAAACGGGTTCCCCGTTGGTCGACGCGGCCGCCATAGATGGCGCTCTCAAACAAGCCGTGGATGAACGGCCAGCGGATGGTGCTGCCCCCTGGAAGTAGAGGACGAACGTGAGTCGGGCGTCGTTTTTTTTCCGCCGATCGCGTTGGGAACAGAGGATGGTGACGCGATTATTAATTACATCATTTATTTAATTTACATGTTATTATAGTAATTAAAATATATTGTATTAATTTAATATGTGGCACTTAATGAAGACTGTAATTATGTGATGCTTTGATTGATACTTTAATTTATGCAATGCTTAATTAATGAGGTTATTGGCACTGACCTGACTTTATCGCGAGTACATCGATGATTTCGGATGCTGCTCTCAGGTCACCAGTCTGGAAAAAAACTCCGTAAAACTTTCGGTCCAACCCTTGTATAATCAGACGACGATGTCACCATAGCTACGCACAGCTCAGCACCAGGAATTATCGATACAAGATTGAGCAGCTGGCCGGTGGGATGTGATTCTTTGCCTACTTGTTAGAATCCTTGCCTGGATCAATCAGGATGACCCCCACCTGGTATTTTTTCGACATAGACATTCCTCAGCGTGACACGTACATGTGTGTACGGCCGCTTACCTGCTTGCAGTTACAGTAAATATGTAAACATATAAGTAAAACTAGAAAAATATATAGGCCTAATTACATATAATATATATATATATATTATATATATATAATTATATATATATATATTAATAATATTCTTCATGAATACGACGAGTTAGATGTTTGATACGCGATGAAGTCGATGGCCAAAGCTCATCCGCTTTCTGTGTAACTCTCACAGACTTACCTGAGGTATGTTATTGCTACTGGCGGTATGTATCTTACTTTGGGAGTATGTATCTACCTCTGGTCGTATGTATCTACCTGGACCTCGATCCAACCGGTATGTATTCTACCTGAGGTATGTATCTACCTGGGGTTATGGATTTCTACTGGGGGTATGTATCTACCTGGGGTATGTATCTACCTGAGGTATGTTATTCTACCTGAGGTATGGTATTACCTGGTGGCTACGTATCTACCTGAGGTTATGTATCTACCTGGGGTACTGTTCTACCTGGGTACGTATTCTACCTGGGGTTATGTATTACTTGGCAGTATTGTATCTGACCTGGTGGTAAGTATCTACTTTGGAGGTATGATACCTACCTAGGTAATGTATTCTACCTGGGCGTATGTATCTACCTGAGGTATGTTATCTACCGGGTATTGAATCTACCTGGGGTATGTATCTACCTGGTGGTATGTATCTACCTGGGGTATGTATCTCTACCTGGGGTATATGTATCTACTTGGGGTATGTACCTACCTGAGGTATGTACGTGCGTCTCTCCTGGGTGATGGCATGGAACCAGGCGAGCGCAAACAACGCCTGCGCTCGCAGCACGCTGCCTCCCTTAGCGATGTAATCAGCCGGCCATGACTCGTACGTCCGCTGCAGGTTCTTCTTGACACCAGGTGGCGCCTGAAACATTGATTACGTAACGTTACGATCGTTTCGTCACGCCGATAGCATCTGTAGAGTTTGGCTAAAGTAATAGATGGCAGATATGTTGTTGGATGGCGACCAGCCACCGCCATGGCCACCGTGAATGTGCCTGCGTCTGCAACCTACCTCAATCGTCACGGCAAAACCGCAGCTTGCATTTGTCGCGCGACGGATTTGATCGTCACGGCAACCACACTTGACATAACTGCCGCTACCTGATGCGTCAAGCAACCGTAACCCATGTCACCAACTATCTTAAATCACCAAGGTGACGAATTGCTGCATGTGCCACCTACCTCAATTGCCATGTGGCGACTGCTCCTCGCAGCAGCCAGCAAACACTCGATCGTCATGGCAACTGTGTCTGCCCTGACCTACCTGGCGTACGTAACCTTCAGGCTGGAACTGCAGCAGGATATGAGGGAAACTTGTCAATGCACCTACCTCGTATACAGTGACCTTCAGACTGGACTGCAGCAGGATTGAGGGAAGCTTGTCGTGCACAGAGTAACTACCGATCGTACGTGACCTCAGGCTGGATCTGCAGCAAGGATGGAGGAAACGTTGTCATGCAACTACCTCGTACGAACCCTTCAGGCTGGACTGCCAGCAGGATTGGAAGAACTTGTCGTGCCACGCTACCTCGTACGTCGACCTTCAGAACTGGACTGATGCAGCATGGATTGACTGGAACTTGTCGTGCACAGCTACGCTGTATGTGACCATTCAAAACTTGGACTGCAGCAGGATTGGAGGAATGTCCGTGCACATACTACCTCGTAACGTGACGCTTGCAGGCTGGACTGGCAGCAGGATTGATGGAACTTTGTCATGCACGCGTACCGTACGTAACCTTCAGGCTGGACTGCAGCAGGATTGAAAGGACACTTGGTCGTCACGAATCCTTACCCGTACGTGACCTTAAGACTGGACTGCAGCAGATTGGAGGAACTTGTCGTGCACCTAATCCCTCGTATGTGACCTTCAGACATGTGACTGGCAGCAGGATCCGAGGAACTTGTCGGCAGCAACGGGCAAAGCTACCTACTACGTGACCTTCAGTGCTGGACTGCAGACAGGATCGGTAGGGAACATTGTCGTGCACCTACCTCGTACGTGACCTCAGACTGGACGCAGCCAGGGATGAGGAATCATTAGTCGTGCACAACTACCTCGTACTGACCTTACAGGCTGGACTGCAGCAGGATGGAGGATACTGCATGCACACGTACCGTACGTAACCTTCAGAGCTGGACTGCAGGCAGGATTGAAAGAAATTGTCGTGCACCTACCCGCTGCGTAACGTGACTCATTCAGACTGGACTGCAGCAAGGATATGAGGGAACTTGTCGTGCACGAGAGAAGCCTACGGCTCGTTACAGTGACCTTCAGGCTGGACGAGCAGCAGATCGAGGAACTGTGTCGTGCACGCTAAACCTCGTACGTGACCTTCAGCGGACGTGCAGCAGGATTGGAGGACTATGTCGTGCACTACATAACCTTCGTTACGTGACCTTCCACGCTGGACTGCAGCAGGAATCGAAGGCGAATCTTGTCGTGCACACTACCTCGTACGTGACCGTTCACGCTGGGACTGCAGCAGTGATTGGAGGAACTAATGTCCGTGCAACCAAGCTAACCTCGTACGTTGACCTCAGCTTGGACATGCAGCAGGATAGGGAGGGAACTTGTACGTGCACGCTACGTCGTACGTTGACGCTTCAGACCTGTGGAGCAGCAGGATCGGAGGGAACTTGTCGTGCACCTCAGCAGTGAGCCACAGTCGGAATGCGTCGTTCGCTCGCAGACCGTTGATCTCCTTCTCGAGCGTCGGCAGCCACGCCGTCACCAGATGCAGGTTCTTCAGGCACAGCCACTCCCCCGTCTCCGCGCACTGACGCAGCAGCTGTAGCGCCCTCTGCTGCTGACCCTGCCCCATCGCAACCTACGCGAGAAGTGACGACGGATCGTCAGATGTGCGCGAGCGGTTAGGATGCGGGCGGGAGTGGGGAGGTATCATCAAAATTGTGACCTGCTCCAGCAAAACCTGAATAGATCATTTAATTACCTTTAAAATGATATATAATATTTGGCTATATCTAAAGAATTGACCGATCTACAGCAATTTGAAGATGGGAAACCGACTTATTCCGGAATATGCAGCTTTTGAGATAAAGCGTTCCGGGTAAAGGGCCCAGTCGGGGATGAGCAGTCAAAGGCCCTTAAAAAAAAAAAATGACCATAATAATCTAGAGATATCTGAACCTATATATCCGGATTAAATATGCACTTAGGAACTTATTTTTGTAAAAATCTCATTTTTGTCCAGGTAGGCCATTTTCAGCATTGACATGTGTGCGTGCTCATTACTCAAAACAATGACATAATTGCGACTTAGTCCATATTATGCTGGAGCGGGTCACAATTGCTTTCAGTAACATGCAATGTGGTACGTATATAGGTAGGGAATATTTAGGCAGTCGTAGTGAAGTATGCAAAAGGAGAGCATACACAATCACAGATTGCTTTTGATGTCTGATCATCACATATTATAATACTATTTATTACTATCGTTATAGCAAGTTCCGTGCTTACAACAAGTACTCTCTCTCTCTCTCTCTCTCTCTCTC